AGAGACAACCTCATCGGAACGGTTTGCGTTCTCATCACCAACCTGCTCCAGGTCCGCCGCGCTTCCGGCTCTCTGCGTATGCGTGTATCTGGACAGGTCTGAGAATGGAGAAGTTTCGAGAGAGAGAGAGAGATGAGTTTTGATCGGGTAAGGTCAAATTTCTCTGTGATATGTTTAGGGATCTTAGACATCAAAAAATAATTTTGTGAATCTCTTCAATTACGAAAAATGGGAGAGGGACCCTAGACTAATTTTCCCTAAAACAAATGCATGAAAAGATGATTGTATGTATAATTACCATTTTCACATTATGCCCAAAAAAAAAAGATTAAAAGAGAATGTATTAGTGATGGACAGCGCAGAAATATTTGCTTTTGCATTTATAATGGTGTAAATGATATATAAATAAAAAAATATTATAATTTGTATACAAAATAACGTAGTTGCATTAAGATTTATCATTTTAAAATAAAATACTCATTAAAATGATTACAACAAATAATCTCATAAGGAGAAAGAAATTATCAATCCTTGCTAAGATTAACCCCCCTGAATAGAAGTGTTACAACATAAAAATATCATCATTTGACAATATTGTTCTAATTGTATAAATATTATTTTTACTTTTACTTTTATAACAAAATCTGAAATATAAATGTGGTTTGTCAATCTCATCATCAAAAAAATATAGATGGAACTTTACTTTTACTTTTATAACAAAATCTGAAATATAAATGTGGTTTGTCAATCTCATTATCAAAAAAATATAGATAGAACTTTCCTCAAATTTTGATATCTGTGGTTGGCATAAGTTATTTTCGCTATTTTAGCCACAAAAAGACAATAGGTTAAAAAGTAAATAAAGCAAAATATTATATCTAAATTATAATCATTTTATTTTTTTCTTATAAAAATCAAAAAAATCAAAAAGTTCATCACAAACGAAGTTTTTTAGCCTCAGGTTAAAATAGTCAAAAAATCAAAAAGCTAAAAAATAACCCACATCTCAAACGAAAACTTACTAAATATGACCTTGAAGATAAATGAATTTTTTTTTTTTAGAATGTGAAAATAAATGACAACCGTGCTACGTAACTCGAAAAACAGGGCTCGAATGGCCCAATTTTTTTTTTTTTTCTTGCCTTCTACTAACACAGTTTCCTCTCTCACTCAAACATGACCGAGTGAAGTTCCAACCTTCTGATCCATGTATACAAACAAACCCACAAACAAAACCAAATCAAAATCCAAAAACAAAACCAAATCAAATCAAAATCCACAAACAAAATCAAAATCAACAACTGATCACAAACAAACCCACATCAACTGTGTATACAAATCAAAACCAAATCAAAATAAAAAACAAACCCACAAATCAAAACCAAATCACACATAGATCTGTTGAGAGAAGAGGAAGAAAGGGACCCACCGTCATCCATCACTGTCGCGCCCACGGTCGTGCCATCACCTCTGTCATCGCACCGCTATCGCCTCTTCTCTCTTTCTTCTCTCTGCCTCCCTCTTCTCTCTTTCTTCTTTATTCTCTCTTCCCTCTTTTCCCTATTTCAGAGAAAAGAGAGAGAGAAAAATCAAAACGACATCGTTTTGAAATTCGGATCAATTGAGCCACGAAAATTTCAAGCTACCAAACTTTATAAACGAATTTAGTAAACAATATTACTACAAATAATGAATATCAAATCCACTGAAGCACATTTGGATTGATTATCAATTGATCACCGGAGTTCAACTCCCGGCAGCAAAATTATTTTGTTTTTAGAATTTCTTTGTTTTTTAATTAAATTAACATAAACTAAATTTATTTCAATAAATCATATATATATATTATTTTTTAAAGGAGAAAAATATTATTCTAGACTAAATTTCTTTCATACCACCACCTTCACAATCACAACTATTACCCTATTATGGCCGGCGCCACCTCCACTATTTCAACCCACTACTATATTAATTTTGAAATTACAATTACATATAGAAAAATATATTTTGGGAAAAATAATTTTTAGAATACATTTTTTTAGAAAAAATATTTTTTATCAAAACAAACAGAATGTTAGCTTACCTATTCCAACTGTTTAATATTAGATACATATTTTAAAATTTACTTAAAATATAAATTATAATTTGTAATTCTAAAAATTATATTATGTCTCCTTAAGTTTTCAATCGCGTAACAAATTACTTATTCTATTAATAAATTATTAAGTCAATTAATAATTTTTAATGATATTATTAATATAAAGACCAATTAGGAATTTCATTTTTCTACTAATTATATATGTTAAATAAAAAATTATAACAATGGTTTATTTTTAATTTTTAAAACTATAAAAGATAATTCATATTTAAAAAAAATTAAGAGACATATTTATAATTTACCCTTAACATTACTAAAATAATCATGATGAATTTGAACACCATATATTGCCCATGGTATCGCCAAGTTCACTATATTAAACTCATAATTTCATTTCAAAACAACTTTTGCTTGGGAAGGGGAGAAAATAGTTGGAAAGTCAAAAAAAAATACTGCAAGTTATTATATTATTCTTTTTATTTTTTACACATTTTTTTATTATAAAAACTAAAAAGATAACTAAAATAACAAATTTCTGAACAAGCCCTAAAATTCAACACAATACTAAAAATACTAGTAAATTATACTTACCTATCCTAAGGTTTAGAAAAAATACACTAAGCCCACAATTTTGACATAATAACATTAACTTTTCTTTTAGTAAGGTTAAATGAACCAAAATTAATGCAGATAGTGTGAGAATACAAAATAAACTACATAAAATACACATTTTCGTGTAAAAGATAGAATAATTTTATTTTTTTTCATTCATATAACTAACAAATTAAGTTGAAAAATAAGTTAAGTGTTTTATAAATTAAAATCACAGGGAAACTCAATATAATTATGTCAAAATTATGGGACTTATTGTATTTTTTTTTATTTTTTTTTCAAATCTTAAAGAGTAATTTTATTTTCACACACTAATTCCCTTAAGTTTACACACTCAATAAAATTTTTTCTTGATACAATTTTATCCGAAAATAAAAATATCATGATACCCTTAACTTCTTCCATCTAAACCATAATTCTAAAACATCACAACCATCTCCCATTACCAATGCCACCTCTCTCTTCTGCCATTCCCTCTCGTCACCTTTTTTTCCCTCCACCTATGACTACCTTCCACCATGAACTATACATTTCCACAAGTCTTTCACCACGAACCACTCACTTTCAAAATTGACTATGAAGGTCTAGAATGGCGGGAGATGAGTTAGGAGTGGTGGTGGTGGTTGTGATGGAAGGCTGAGAGTAGCACTGACACCGGTGAAGAAAGAGTGGGTGGATGAAAGAAAAATTAGGATTTTAAAATTGAAGATGAAGGTAATATTGAAATAAAGAGATATATATGTATTGATTTTTTATTTTTTATTTTTTATATGTATATTTAAAATATTTGCATCACGTGTGTATACTGAAGGAAAATGATGTATAAAAATAAAAGTACACAATCATAAGAGAGTCAGTGTAAATTAACCTACTAAAAATAACCAAAAATTATACAAAAGTAGTTGTTAGAGTCTCTACTATTTTTGATAATTTATTTAAAAGATAAATAATAAAAAGTGTCAAAGAGTCCTATTGTTGGCAAAATATCGATCGTTCGAGTCTCCGACTCTCCCTCAACCCTAATGAGATGAGTTTAGGGATGGTTGAATAAGGTAATGTCAAATTTGGGAAGACTTTTAAAAAATCCGATTGGGTTCGATTCAAGACAGGACGGGTATCTTTTATCCAAACTCTATCCAACTTGCAAATATAGTAATAAATAAATAATAATATTACATATATATAATATGTATAATATGTATATAATATATTGTTAAATTTTTATAAAAAATATATATAATATTTATATAATATATTATTGAGTTTTTATTATATTATATACTTATATAATATAATTTTAATATATATAGTATATAATATATTTTTTAATTATAAATAATTTTTTTTAATTTTAATTATTAAATTTTAATATTATTATTAAATTTCTGATCGTGTTGTAGATCGGATAGAATCCACATGAGGGTGAGGATTATATTTGCTGGTTTGAATGAGGTTCGAGAATTTCACGAGGTTCCGATCGAATCGGATTGGATAAGGATGGAAGCAAGCTACGAAAATTAAGAGCGAGTATGGTCTGAATTGGTTCACATTAGGATAAAATTATAATCAATTTGTTATTTACAGATCTTAAAAAACTAGAACCAATTCAATTCATTTAAATCATGGAACCAATCCATTTAAAGAAGAATTGAATCGGTTTATGATCATGAATTTACATAATTAAATAATAAAAAAATATAACATTTAAATTTCATAAAAATATAACCATAGCATCACATTAATTCCACAATAATAACATGTATTTCCATTATAACGACATACTATTCTACAATTTAAACAACCATAAGAAAATTACTTCTACCATAAATATTTAGATTATTACAAATTAAAATTAAAAATTAACAAACAAAAGTAAAAAGATACTATACAGATTTAGATTTGAGTTTGGGTTTGGGTTTAGGTTTTATATAGAATAAGAGAAGATACTATACGGGAGAGTATATAATATAAATATAGATTATTTGTATACTGTCTGAATTGATTCCAATTCAAAATCATAGGATTCAATTCAGAACTGATCTATAGATTACGAATTTTTAATTTTTCAATCTAAAATCATATTATAAATTTAAAAAATCAATCAAACCTTACCGAATTAAACTAAACCGGACCGGATGCCTTGCTAGGCCCTAACGAAAATGGGATGGGAGTGAGGGTGGGTCTCGACTCACACCCGTTGCCATCCTAAAGTAGCATTGACCTGCAAGTCAAGTCATAAGTCATGTAGCTAATTCTGGTTAGTGCATAGCCTTCCCATTTAAAAGAACTTTTGACAATAGGTGTTTGGTTTAACTAGTTATTTATGGCTTTCTATGAAGTTAGGTACTAAACTACATCTATAAGATCAGGGTGGAGGAGATGGAAATTCTTCAGCAATGGTGGAAGATGAGATTCTCTTTCAAGAACGCCACTTTCATCGTTTGTTTCTTCAATCTCATCGCCCTTCTTTTCTTCCTTCAGGGCTTTCTCTCTGCTTCTTCCAACCGCAAATTGGCCTCCTATCAACGCAACTCAGGCTTGTCCCCCTACCCACTCTTTCTTCATTCTGAAATTGCAAAATAATCATGGGTTTGTCTTTGTTTGTTTGTTTTTTTCCGATTATTATCTTTGCCTTTCTTGTATGACTCTTTTGTAATTGAACTGTGGTGGAAGAATTGTAGGTATGTGTTGAATTGAAATCAGTTGTCTTTTTGGGTTGACCTATCATCGTTTGGATTTGGGGATTTGGGTTTTAATGTAGAAATTAGTGGAAACAGTTGCTAATTGTGTTTGATGATTGAGAATTGTGGGTTTTGCGTTTTTTGGTTTTTGGTTTTGGGTTTGATGTGCCTACTTTCCGTTTGAGAATTGTGGGTTTTGTGTTTTTAGGTTTTTGGGTTTGATCACAGATATGAGATGTGCCTACTTTCTGGTTGAGAATTGTGGGTTTTGGTTCTTAGGTTGTTGGGATCCATGTAGTGTGGGATCCATGTAGAATTAATGTGAACTATAAGATGATAATTCTGAAATAATTCCTGGTAGCTAAGTCTGGTTCATAGTATTGCTTTTGTCGGTGAGATGTGCCTACTTTCTGGTTGTGTAAATGGCTACTCTGTATTTCATGATTGATCACCATTTGCACTTGAAGTGTAGTGAGGACAATTATGAAACAAATTGAGGGCTTTTGAGTGAGCTCCCGAGGCTGTGCTTGGAGCTTGGATTTGAGAGGGATTTGTAGAGGGAAAAACAAATGGATTTTTTACACAAATCCTTCTCCCAATCCAAGATCCGAATGCAGCCTAAGTGTATTCCATTTATAGAGACAATTATAGAGGTGAGGAATCATCAACTGCTTTGAACTTCATTACATACAGAACTGCAGGCTGTTGAATCTTAAATTTTTTTTGCTAATTTCTAGAAAACGTGTTCTTAAGCTGTGTTTAGAACTTGGATTCGTGGAGGGATTTGTAGAGGGAAAAGAAAAGGATTTTTTACACAACTCCCTCCCCAATCCAAGATCTGAATAACCTAAGTGTATTCCATTTATAGAGACAATTAGAGGTGAGGAATCATCAAGCTTTGAACTTCATTACATACAGAACTGCAGGCTGTCCAATCTTGAACCTTTCTTGCTAGTTTTAGAAAATGTGTGTAAGTTGTGTTTGGATCTTCAATTCATGGAGGAATTTGTAAAGGAAAAAGAAAAGGGTGAGGAAAAGTGAATGAAGTAAAAATAATAATAATAATAATAATTTTATTTATACTTTTCCCTTTATTTTCCCTCCACAAATCGAAGATCTAAACACAATTTTAAATTAAAAAAAATTCTAGGAGGAAAAAGAAAAGAAAAAGGAAAAGTGAATGAAGTAAAAATTATTTTTTCCTTTACACTTTTCCCATTCTATTTCTTTTCCCTCCACAAATCTAAGATACAAACACAACATAGTTTTATGTTATTTTAAGAACCCCTCAGTTTGGCAAAAAATATATCATATATATGTTATTTTAAATGCTCAAATCAGTGATAAGTGAAACTAAACTCACATAGTTTTTTTTTTTTTAACCCTCTCATTTTTTTTCTCTTAAACCTGAGAGGGTATTTTGTGGTTTTGAAGCAATGCTCCACACTATTTATGTTGTGACCCTTATTTAGTTGTCTTCTACAAAACCAACATAAAAGTAATTGGTTACATTAATTGTTTAAACCAATCAAGTTAGGACACCACATGTATTTGTCTAAAAAGAACTAAATATTTTTCCCTTAAAGCCACTAAAACCCTAAATCAATGATGCTTGCCTGTATCAGTATTTGAAAATCAAGTTTGTATGTGTTTTTGTGGTGCTGGGGTATATATTTTCATTTGCTGGATAAGTGCTGATTGGTTTATGTGTTATTGGATGCTTCAAATTATTCTATTTAAGTTGACACATTGCTCAGAACCTATTATTTTTTTCCGATTTTTCATTTTTTTTCTTTCTTCCTTCCTTCCTTTCTTCTTCTTCTTCTTCTTCTTCTTCTTCTTCTTCTTCTTCTTCTTCTGCTTCTTCTTCTTCTTCTTCTTCTTTTGATTTTTTTTATTTTTTTTCAAATACCAATCAGTCAAATTTGTTTACATGCTATATAAATCACCAATTTATTACTTACTATGTGACACCTATCATATTAATAAAGTGTGTCATGTTTCAGTTTTCAAAATCTCATTATTAACATCACTTAGTAAGAAAAGTTTTTTAAGATTTATAGTTTATATATGATTTTCCTTTGTTTACAAATAAGATGATTTGTGTAGTTTTATACTCCTCTTTTCTTTCTTTTTTTTGTGCGTGTGTGCGTGTGTGTGGATGTTTTAAGGTATTAATTGACAAAAATTCAAATAGTTATTGATTGATTGTCATTAGCATAACCAGTATAGATAAATGGCATGTGTATTGGTACAGTAATAATCTTACAATTCTATAAGAGTTCAGTATTGGTATTATTACAAGTTTGATATTAGGCTCTTGAACCCCTACTAAAATTATTTTCTGGTGTCAACATTGCCCTTTTGTTGTGAGTCTTGTGACTATGTGGATCACAAAGGAACCCTTGATGAGAGAAATGTTTGGATTTAATATTAAACTACTGAAATGGAATAGATGTACATAAGTTGATTCTGTTGTGAGTTGGTTGGTAGCTGGTTCTCACCAAGTTTTGTATTTGACCTACTAAAAATGGAGGGAAGGAACATATTGCAGGTAGGAGCTCATTAGCCTTTTCTACTCAGCTCCTACCTGTCAACATGTTCTGGTACAGGTGTCGAACACACATCCTACACTCTTAGCCTTGTCTTATCCGGTGAACACAGGTACACTAGGGGAAGCAGAAGAGTCCGTGTACCCTTTGTAAATTATCTCTTGTTCATCTACTTATTCATGTAGGACTGCTTTGTAAATTCTTCTTCAATGTCAAAACCATTGTTATTTTTGGGGGAGAGTGAGAAAGAGAGACTCCTGGCGCATACAACACACCCACAGTAAACATTCTCAAAATCAACACACTACTCACTAGAATTGAGACTCAGAGAACAGCTCATAGCCACACACACACCCAAAGATCTACCCATAGACACGACCTCACACTTACTAGCCACTACACAATACACATGTACACTACACTACATGGTACACTGTCTGTAAACACTACTAACTACACACTACGCACCTACACATAATATTTATATATATATATATTATATGCAGATACGGTATGAGAAAAAATCATGAAAAATAACTGGAAGAACTGAAGCCGCAAAAACAACTACACAAATCAACCCAAACAACAGAAAATAATGAAAAAAAATGAGAGAAAAAGTGACCTCATTGCTTGTGGAAGGAGATGTATGGCCGACTGAGTGTAAGGTGGTGTAATGGAGAATATAACGGCCGTATCATCAGCTACGACACCAATATGAAATCCAATACTTACATGATTTTATTTGTCACTGATACAACCCTGTGTATCACAATTGGTTGCCCGAAATTTCATTATATATTGGCCGATAGGATACATAATGATTGATATTTTGAACACTAGGGTGGCTTCTTTCTATATGTAACTCATATTTATAGATAAATATTACATGTACCTTTTGAAATGCAGCTCAACTCAGATACATTAAGGAATCTGAAGATTTACGGCGAACCATGGAACCCTTGGAACTAATTAGAAGAGTAAGTATAAAGTGTCTTTACAGTTCATCAATTTATTGAATTTTCAACTGAATGGATGCAAGTATAAGGAATCACATGTATAGCTTTGTGATTCTTGAGGTTGAGTTATATTTACATTAAGGTTGATATCTTTTTTCACAGATTTTACTCTATTTTTTTTTTCAAAAAAACTCTTCACTAGTGTTCAAGTTTATGATACATCTTGAAGTGCAACTAAAAATCTTTCCTTAATTTAGGTGAGGGAAATTAAGCAAGAAGCATACATAGAACCAGAGCCAGTCCAACAGAAAGATATAAAGCAGACTGCTGCAGTTGATCTGATTACGAGGTTGAACAATTTTCGTTCCTATTCAGATCCTGGCAGTCTAAAAGGTGACTACTAACTACCTTATCCCAAGAAAATTGTTACTAATTCCAGTTTCTTCATTTGTTTTCTGTTTTTGTCATGTAATTATTTCTCAATCGTAAGCCTGCTATCTGGGCTTTTGTAGTACTCACAAATTCGACTCAAATCAAGTAGCAAACCATAATGAAGATGGGGCTACACACACAAATAAGTCCATGTTTGGAAACAGGAACACGGTTATATGTGCGTGTACATAATGAATCATATATTTGTTACATGGTTAAAACATATATGTAGAACCATAGGAAGCTTAAAAAATTTTACTTGGACATTGACATTTTTAGTGAAAGACACCCTGCTTGTGTTGTTCTTGTGCACTTTTGTAGTAGAGGAAGGTTGCCCCCTTTTTGTATCATCCGAAACAGTTGTTTGACATGTGAACCCTGGTATCATGTCAACAAGTGTTGACACATAAATTGCCAATAGCATGAAAGCATATAATTGGACTTTATGTATACTTATATTTTACTATGGTGATTTTAGAAAACTGTTCCAACAGTCACTTAATTAGTTAAAAGCTTGAGACGATTTTCATCTCTACAAGCGGGCAGGCTGATCTATGAAGTGAAAGTTCTTTTAACTGCTCATTCATTCTTATATATATTTTCCCTGTATGCTATTTGTAGCCACGGGAGGAATTGTAAGGTGATTCTTTATTCAGGGTTGTGACTTAGGGTTTAGAGTTTAAGAATCCTATGGGTAAAAAGAACAGGATAGGAGGGCTTAGGTAGATCTCAAGCCACTGCCACTTTGGAGAGCAAATTGGATAAGCTTTGAAGTCTTGGAGGCATGGATGTTGTAGAAGTTCTTTGTCAACATGTATATTGCTATGGGAAAGCTTTATCGGCATCAAAATTGCTTTGGAGAAGGAGGATATCTTGGAAGCTTCAAGTTTTCTATGGAAGTTGCTGTGGGAGAACTTCACCAACCAGGAAAAAGCTTTGAACAGGGTCAAGACCAAGTCAACCATAAAAAAAGGACATTGGTTCATTTGGTCAATTTCTTCAACCAACATCGGTGTCTGGTCGACCAAGGTGGTATGGTCAAATATGACAGCCAAGCCAACCACAAGTTGGTTGACTAGATGGATCCGCTAGGCAAGTCATTTAAATCCCACTCCACTATGGGCCGACCTACCATGGCCTAGGTGGGCTGACCCATGAGGAGATACAGAAGGTGGAGTTCATGCAGTGATGCATGGACCGACCCATTTATAGTGCAGGCCGGCCCAAGACGAACACCAGTAAAATAGTGCCGAGCATGTAGGTTGACCCATTATACTACAATTCTATAAAATTAACCCTTTTTTTTTTGTGTGAAGATTCAATAAAATTAACCTTCATATGACCATTGGGATATTTCTTCTATTTATATCCCTGTTGGGGTTCTTCTATGAGAAGAAGTCATTGAGGGGGTCTATACATGTCCTGTACTCTCATATATACTTGAGTGAGTGTGAATTCAATATTGGAATTGAGAGTCGTCTTCAACCTTAGAGCAAGTAAGTGAACCTTTTGAGGTCTTTCACTTGTAAGAGGTAGTTTCTCATCTTTTTAGTGTAGTTCTTACACAGTTGTCCTACACACCACAAGACTTTTGGGGTATCAGATTTTCTTAGTTTTGAAGTTCTTGTTTCTATATTTGTTTAATCTAGTGAATTGTTAGGTTGACTTTGGTGGCTGGGATGGAACTAGCAAGAGATCATCAGTGGCCATAGCCCCCCTGCCCATATGAAAAAACATGTTTGCTGCCACATGATGTCATTGACATTGTATAAATATTGGAAAAGGCTATTATACACATCCCTAACTATCAAAAATGTTAAGAGTTTTTGTTGTTTTAGTTACGAACCATTATGGTTATGTTAATGAAAGGGCACACCATAAAAAGGTATTCGTTATGAACCATTGTGGTTATCTTACAAACCATCATGATTATGCTGTGAACATTAAAAGTTTAGGAACCATTGTGGGGAGAAAAGATATGAACAATTATGATTTTATTACGAATATCTGTGGTGTAGTTGCAAGAGGACATACATATATCCTTTCCCATAAATATTTTGCAAGGCTTCGTTTGGGAATCGACTTTTTTAGTGAAAGAAAGAATGGGTTGACTTTTTGAATTGGCTTTTGGCTTTTTGGCTATTTTAGTCAGTTCCCAAACATCATAACCAAAAAGTTGAGACTAGTGATGACCTTTTTGTTTTATGAGAAAATACAATTGATTATGAGTATAATGTTTCAACTTGTGGACTACAAAAATTCGTCTAACTCTTTATGATTTGTAACAATGGAAAAGGCTTTATGATTTGTAAGGACGATAAAATCAACAATTTACCAACTTGTAATAGTAATAAATCTTTAGTCTATTTCTCATTCATGAATTAGAAATTAAAATAAAAAATTCTTGTTCAGCTCCAGGAGATTAAATCCTGGTTCCGTCCTTGTTTAGAGGTTGTGGTTTTGGGTGAGCCTAAACCCATTTGTATATGGAGAAAGTTTGTGGTGTCTCTAGTGAAATCCCTTGAAGGAGTGAAAATAAAAGTTTTGGGTGTTCCTAGTGAAAACCCATTTGATTAGTGAAATATGCCAGTTAAGGAGGTTGGAAGTGACATATGCAAATAGCCGAACCACTATATGTATATATATATATATTGGATTAATGAGATGAATGAATGATCATTTGTGTTAATCTTCAATACATGCTTAATATGAATGTACTTTTGTGAGATAAACATTTGAACAAATGATTTTTGAAAGTTAACTTTGTGAATGATAAAATGGATGATAAATTAATATCACCAAGACTTTGAAAGTTGATTTAGGGTTGAATAAAATTGAGCATATGATATAGTCTCAACCCTGGTCAGCCAGACATCAGAATTAGTTGGCAGAGTAGAGTTAAAGGGACATAACCTAAAACAAGTTAAAATTGATTAACTTGTGTTGTGTCCTATTTAGTTTCCTTAAAATTGATTCTCATGTGTGATTTTCAGTTTCCTTCTTTCTTCCTAGGAGCTTCTCATTTTTATGATATGATAATGGATTATTTTTTTTACTCTCTACAGCTCTAGAAGAATGGCGTAAAAGGAAGATGGAACGAGCGAGGCAGCGCGAACTTGGGAAAAATGGAACAGCTACCTCACAAGCTTGAAATTCTCTGTTAAATAGAGTCCAACCTCGTACATCAATCATGTGATTGCCAGTGGTTAAAGTTACTTGCAGAATTAGTTTGTAGAGAGCCAAGAAATCCTCATCTAATCTCCAAAAAATAAATCCACTGCATTCTCTGCTTCTCTTGCGAAGTCTACACATTTTCTGATATTGTTTGTGATTTTCCCACCACAGGCAGTTTGCCGACAAACCGGGATCCTGCTGCAGTAGGAATGTTGTAAACAAGCCGAGTAACAATAGTGCATTTTCAATTTTATGTGATTCTCAAGTTTGGGTGGAGAACTTGATAAGTTTTAAAAATATGTTTTGAGGTTAGTTTGTTTGTTATTCAAGTTAATTTCAAAAGAGTTTTAATTGAGTTGATAATTGAGCTGAGTTTAAATAGTGTTTTTTATAGTGTATATAAGTTTATTGAACAGAGTTTGAACTGAGTTTTAAAAATTAACAAATTTCAAGATGTGTTCAATCTTTACTTATTTGTATAATATAACAAGTTGATCTTGAACAAGTTTTTAATTAGTCAAACTCAAGTAATTTGGTTTATTTTACAATAGTCTTAGTTTACCTAGTAAGAATGATTATTTTCACAATATATATTTTAAAAAAATTGTAATAGTCCCGTTTGGTAGAGTTGTGGGAAAGTGATTATAACTTATAGCCTAACAGTTTATAACTTATAGTTGTGAACATAAGTTGATTTTTGACTTATAAATTAAGCTTTTCTTTCCCAACTCAAAGAATAAGTTGATTTTTTATTTACAAAAAGCTATAAGTTGTATTGTTAAGGTGAATTAAAAACATCAAAATAGTTTAAATTAAGGTAAAAGTTAAAATAAATTAAAAATAAGTCTTACCAAATAAGGCCAATACTTATGGAATCAGGGGCTATAGAAGTTGAACCATGATGATTTCTCCAAGTGAGCTGCAAATTTGAGTTTGACCCATCAGTTACCAAACTCAAAACAACAGAGAGGAACTCCAAATTGCACGAGTCAAGTATTCTTTTCTATCGTGTTTGATCTCTTCATTATTGACCGGACTTATTTATTTATAAGTATTGAGTGTTTCTTTTTAATGTATTTGTCATTCATTTTGATAATAAAAAATAAAATAAAAAAAATTTGATACATTTTTTATGTATTTTTGTGTTTGTGGAATGATTATTTAGTACTAGTAATAATATTGATTAATTTATTAAAGAAATAAATGAAAGGGAGATTTTTTAGTTTTTGTTCGTGAGTTTTTATTTATGCTAAGTTCATTTGTATCAGTTTGTATTGAAATATAATATAATAAGTATAAATAATTGAATTGAATTTTTTTAAAATATTTTTACAATGATAAATTTTTTATTGAAAGTTGAAATTGCTTCTTTTGATAAATAAATCTGGTTCACAGAACCGGTTTGTAACTATCTGTTTATATAATAAATAACCTTAATTGTAGAAGATGATCATCTCTAACACTTTCTTCATCCAGTTATCATCTAACAGTTAATCTAAAGACCACAACTAGTGATAATAACTAATTGTTGAATTGTGACATTTAAATCAACAATTGAATAATGACTAGACGAAAAAAATGCCGAAAGGATTCATGTTTAACCTTATAAATGGGAAACTTGCACCTGTAGGATCCATGTGTACATGAAAATGAGATAGAACACCAAACTTACAATGTAACGCTTACACAAGATAAAAAGTCACACTCAACCGGTAAAACCCCACAATCTGAGCATATTTATCACAGTGTCTCTCTCAATTGGTTGAACCATCTTTGTCAATTCCTCTCCCAAAATGATATGAACCTGTATTTATTTAGTGAATATCCCTCAACCTCGTACGACTTATCAAGTTAGGTAACCTATCTATTCAGACTGGTTGAGTTTATAAAATTACTTATAGTTTTTTTCATTTTAGAAATTTATATCAAAATATTTAGTGCAACTTTTGCTTATAATTTAATTTAATTTTTTTTTTTTTTTTTTTTGGGCCAAAGTTAGATTTGATTGATAGACAAAAACAAATACATCAAGAGTGATTATTCTCAATTCTAGAAGAAATTACAGTCAATGTTCAGTGTTCCAAACCCGAACACACGAACACCCAACAACTGCGACCATCAACCAACAACCATAACCACAACATACTGTGGCCACCAACAAAAGAGACAAAGCCAAACCTCCATGAAAGAGGAAGAAAAGCCTCCATAAAGGAGAGAAAAAATAATAAAACAAAATACAAAAATATTGATAAAATCATCAAGGAACTAAATTCGCACAACTCGTAGCATAGAACCGACAAGCAACTCTGTCATCGGCCTCAAATCTGCAGTCCACGGAAGTGGTGGAAGTTTGAATGGTAGAAAACCTCATATCGGACAACAAAATCCTAGATCTAAGAAAAAAAAAATCACTAAAATAGACTAAAAAGACAGGGAAGAGAGGGAGATCGAATGTCACCGCCCCTTACTCTCCTGCCATGACAGCAAGAAAAAACTCTAAAGTTAGAGAGAGAGAGAGAGAGAGAGAGAGAGATCAATTTCTCTCTACTAGAATGTTCTGCTTACAACTTATGAGATAAAAATATATTAAATAAGCTTGATTATAGGAAAATAGTCAAGGCCCCAAAAAATAATCCCACAATGATGTAGTATGATAGGTATTAATTTTAATTTGACACACTCAAATACATAAGTTCAACTCCTTTACCACATCATAGTGAATGAATTTGTGACTCATTATTCCCAAAAAAAATTGTGAGTTTAAAATTTTGAAAGATCTAGCATTTTTCTTCTAATTATTAATAACTTTCAACTTTGTATAATTTGCCCCAAACAGACGTACTGTGACAACTCCAAAATTTAAAAGTGTACTTCTCAAATCCACTATATGCAAAATTACGATTTGATATATTTAAACCATATTGTAGCTAACTCTTATAGTTCAGGGAGTTACTCAAAAAATTAGAATTTTGAGCACATCGCATCATAACTTTGTACATATTATTTCATAACTAAAATCAAAGTGATGTAGATCATCTGCAAACTAAACCTACTTCAAGATAAGAAAGCTTAGAATTAGAAAGAGTTAATTTTTTTAAATCTGAACTTTACAACTGAACTTGCAAAAATTTGAGGTCATCAAATCCACCACAAGTCTCATTTTAATTATTTAAATCGTTTATATAATACGATTCTCTATGTATATCATTAATAAAAAATTTTAAAAAAAAACTCAATCTAATAATTGTAACATTTTTTATTTTATCACATTTATATCCAAAAAAATAAACGCGTATATTTTTAAAAATATATTATTCATTTTTTTGAAAACAAACATTATAAAATAAAAAGAGTACAATTATCATATCAACTTAATTTTTTTCATTGATGATATACAAAGTCCTACAAAATGAATAATTCACATCATCAAAACAAGACCCTCATTAAACCCCACAAATTCTTTTAAATTCATATTTAAACTTGTAAAACAACTTAGAAATAAAACAATTTTATTCACCCATCATAGCATTACTTACCTTCCCTATAAATTCTTACATGAAGTCCACTATTTTGAACTCCACTTGATTCTTACACTGAAGTAAACTATTTTGAACTCCTACAATCTCACTTCCCTCAAACAGGTTTAACATTTGGACGAAGGAAAACATGCCACAAAAAGTGGTTAACAAAACACTCCAAGTAAAGTACCCAGCAAAAACAAGATCTTCACCACACCATCATAAGCAGGGAAGGGAATTTGAGACGCATTTGCATTATTCCCTATCAATCTAAACAAGAAGCTTGAAAAAAACCCAAAGCAGAAAAAGAGTTACCAAGGTCTAGCACTTACAACTCCCTTCAATGTGGTTGGCATGTGCAAACAAATTGAATCAATCCAAGCCAACCACGAACTATTTATGAATAGCTTGATTCGCATATAGTCCTACTTCATGTATGAAGAGTATTGATAAGCCCCACAATCCACACAAATCTGAAAATACTGAGAATCCCTGTTCATCCTCCTTCGGAATTGACTACTTATTACATAACTTTAAAAAAACAAAACAAAAAAACACAGAATTTGTCTGCCTCTGGAGTTGATTTCTAATTACATAATAACAAAAACAAAAAACAAAAAACACACAGTTTGTCTGCCTCCAGATCAATTATAATTCTCTGCCACCTCAGTTTATTCAACTAAAACATGAAAAGAAAGCATTAAAAGAACTGGATTGCATTCCTTCATTTGCAAATGCATTGGCGATACAATTCCTGTACAAACTAAATCAAAACTTGGATGGATTTTCATATATATACAAGCTACAAAGTACAAGAGTTTGTACAGTCATGCATACAAGTTCAAAAACCTCACACGCAGGTGGTGAGATTTGTTGGCGAAGAAATGTCCTGAAGCATCTTAATAGAAACATCTGCGGAAGAATCACTTACCTGAGTAAGGTCTTTCAGTTCCAATCAATTTGTTTATCCCCTTCAACATCAGGTAATAATTTGTGGTGTTGGGAATCGAAGACCAGTAAGTAGTGAGGTAACATGGCAGCAGCATGGGAGAAGAAGAGTAAAAGCTTCATGATAATCTGATGCAATATGTCAAAAATTGCTGCATTCTGTGCCAAGGAACAAAGAGAAACTGAGTCGCAAAAGCTGACGGCAAAGGATTGTCCATTCCAATCTGCATATGACAATTAAATTCAAAGATCTTTAGTCATCATCCACATTAAATGTCAAAACATAGCTGCATCATATAGCATTTCAAAAATTGGTAATTTTGAGACATGCCGATATTAATTAATACTGCTTTCACTTTGTTTTGCATGCTCCGTTGCTTTATTAAAGGAAAAAGAAAGAGATCAAGAACATAAGGGAAAACACACAAAATAGCCACGGCGTAAAACACTCAATAACATCAACTCAAAGCTGAGTATTATATTGTCCAAGCCCAATATTATTTAGGAAGAAAGATCAACATCTACTATTAAGTAAATAAATCTAACTAAATACTAATACTAACATTCTACCAATTACTTTTATGAGATCAAAATGCCTTCGGACCCACTGGCTTCACCCTAGGCTTCTGAATCCAATAATGGGCTTCCAAATAGTAAAGGGTTGCACCATCAAAAAGAGATCTAGAACACAGTATCCTAGAAGTAACTAGATCATAGTTTCACCATTTATCAACATTAAATGAAGCATTCGATAGAACATCGGTAACCCAAACTCATAGGAATATCAATCATAAATATTCTTGCAATCCAACAATAGATCAGCACTATTATGTCCTTGGAAATCACGATTATCAATATTCAATGCAAAGGTACATTTACAGCTAAAAAGACTAACAGCACTATATATTACCAAATCCCAAGAAACAGAAAGAATTAAACAAAATCACAGCCACTATAGAAACTCAAGCTGCTAAATTTCGTAAGGTAATTCAATTCTATACTAAGGTCAAGTTTGGGAAGACTAAATAAGTGTACTTTTTGACTTTTTATGAAATATGGGTTGGATTTGGGTTGGGTTTGAAGTGATGTGTTAGAGAGGTGATGTGACTTAAATAAGATGATGTGACTTAAATAGGATAGTGACTTTTTGACTTTTTGAATTTTTTGAAGGATGCCAAACTTGGCCTAAAGTTTATTGAAACACAGACTAAATTCTATTCACAAAAATTCACAGCTCAGCATTGCTAATTAATATAATCAAGTTCATTAAACCAAAAAAGAACTAAACTTGATCCAAAACGATGTCGTTTTACAATGTGTAGTTTAAAATAGAAAGGCAGTATTTTAATGTCATTTTGTTTTCATTTCAAGCTTGGGTTGTTGGATTATGCCTTTCGCCGACATGTCTTCTTGTGGTAAAAATCACAAGAAGATCATTATGCAGAGAAAATGGCAGACAATCCAGATTCTGCCAGTCTATAAGGAAATTGACCGTCACAAAACACTTGAAGCAAAATCACGAGGATAAATTACGAATGTGAAGGACTAAGCAATAATTTAAGGAAGCACACGGGTGATGGATCATTTTGCCTTTTACAAAGCCTCTGTTAGACTCTTCTAGAGCTACTCGCACAAATCCAATTTCCTCATCCCACTTCAGCTGCTGTAAGACTCCAATTTCTGAGAATTTCCACCTAACAAACCTTCACTTATCCCCTTGACCTTTCATGGATCCTCCATGTTGGAATTATTAATATACCCCGATCTGCACTATACTAAGTACCTTATTCAGCCCCTCCTTCGCCTAGCAATAAACTACATGTTCTACTAAATTGTCCTATTCAACAACAGGCAAAGGATGCACAGCTACTGGATAGAAACATATATCACAGGGTAACACAACCACCAATCTCACCACCATCAAGACAATGCCATAAATCATAGCAAGCATAAAATGGAAAATCAGAGCCTGTGAACATTGTGTGTGGTAGCGGGGAAGAAAAAACTGAAGATTGTATTTGTCCCCCATGCAGGCAGGCAGGCATGCACGTATAAAATGGTCAACTTGAAAAATGCAAATAGTTGAGTAGTTGCATTAAAATGTATTCACACATAATTCACATATACTCCCATTTTGCCTTTTATTGTCAACTATTCATACATAACCACTCAATGCCTTGACAATAGTGAACTTGAAAGTTATATAATAGTCTTATACATAGTTATATAATAAACTCAACTACTTATACATATTTGCTAGGTGCATCACCAACTAGGCATATCAGACACATATCTCATACCTTTATGTGAAGCATGATTATCAAAATCTCAATCCAAATCTTACAATCTTATAATTCATTTAGGCACAATCAATCCAGATCGTGTAGAAAATCTCTTATAGGTAGGATCTTTCAATCTTGATAGTTAGATCGTATAGAATCGTGGAATCCCGTTCTAAATCTAATCCCACCTGATCCAATTTGTAAAACTTGTTTTGTAGTGTATTCACTACTCTTTTTTTATAAATTTAATATTTATGCGTCTAAATACTAATTTTATGTGGTCCAAATAAATAAAAAAACAAGTCATGTCGAACCAAAAGGCTAAGCAAAACAAACTGGGAAAATAGACATTCAAATATTGCAGTAATTTAAAAAAACTAATTAGCCGAAAATTCAAACTCAACCTTAGCAGGCAAGATGTACATAACTTTACCCCATTTCAAGAGGCTATTTCAGTAACTCAAACCTACGCCACCAAGGACACTAAAGCTAGGAAAATGTTTATGCATTGTTATAGAGTGCAAAGTATTTAGTTATAAAACTAGGAATATGCTAAAAACAACCCTAAGAACTGTTGTTAGTGTCGAAAAATGTGTAAAAAGTGTATTACAATATATAAAGTATTTTGGGATAAATAAAAAGTGTATTGAGATTATAAATATTTTGGCATTATGTGTCTTATTAACAAGACTTGGGATTGCCATTAGCACGACCCATAAAAATATTCTTCTCCACCGTTTTTGATGAAATGCACAACTTTTACTATCGAGGTTTTTATTGTATAATATTATATTTACATTTTACATGGAGCATCATATTTTTCACATTATCTCTACTTCCTTTTAGTATAATTTAGGTATATTTTGTGTATACATTTGAAGAAATATTTATTCAAATTAAATTATTATGTAATTTTTCTTTTTCAGTAAGATCTTATGATTTTCAATCCGATTCTACAATCTGATCCTATGAACCCCTTCAAAGAACCAATGTAGGATTCCAATTTTGACAATCTTGGTGTCAAGTATCCAATGCCAGTATTTCACAAATTTCGAAGGATCCATGTAATGTAGTTCACAACAAATTCACCCTATGGAAAAATTGCTAAGACCAGCATTAGTGGAAACTAATTTTACGATAAGTCAAACCCACAAACAAAATGGTGGCTATTAAGGATAATAGCTTGGCTGAAAATTTGCTTCCATGTTTCTCGTTTATACCAACCAAACTAAATTGCAACACACCTATGTAACACACACAAAACGGGAAGCTTTGAAAAGTTTGTAAGAGACTAAAATTCCACCAGCTAGGAGCTAGGAGACTAAAATTCAACCTAAATGGAATTACTAGAAAGAGATTCAGATTCTTATGTGCGATTAAGGAGGCATTTTGCAAACGCAAGAAGGCATACTCAATGTTTTAAAAAGCACGCTTAGGAGCGCGCCTAATTCGAACAGGTTGAGGTGAGGCACAATATGCAAGGCGCAACTGAAGCATCGAGGCAAGGGCTTTTTTTTCAAGCCGTGGGTTTCATGGGCTTTACCTATTATTCTACTCCAACTGTTGATTAAGTGCTTTTTATTTCTTTTTTGGACTACAAACTAGAAGCATAGTTATTTTGAACTTTATGTGGATGATCTTAAAACTTGTTTTTGGTGGATGTGAATATGATACTTCATATTTGTTTATTTATCAAAAAACATATCTTTTGTTGGATATTATATTTATGGTTTTTAAACTTCACTATGAACAAAACAAATACAAAATAGAGAAGGAGTCTCTGGTTTGGTTTGGTTTGGTTTGGTTTGGTTTGGTTTAGAAGATTGAATGTTATGCTTATCAATTATTTGAAATGGTAAAACTTGCTTTATTATTTTTGGAATTCTATATATATTTATGTTAAAAAGTTTGCCTATTTTATAATTTTGGTTTCTTCTACTACTCGTGCCTTGCTTTGGTAAGGCACGTGCCTCGCACTTAGGCTATAGGAGACCTTTTAAAACACTAGGCATAGTCTGTAGTCCCAAATGATCTAAGGTAAATTTGTACCTTAAAATTTTCTAGGAAAAACAAATTTTAGTACAAAAATATAAGCTAACGAATAGCCGTTTTTCCTTCACCTCACCTATCTCTCATTTTCCCTTTTCTGTATACATATATAGAGTAAAGGCCATCATCAATGACTGAAATTTGCCCTGAATATAGAAATCATTCTATGTCATTACCAAGTAAAGTCTCCTGTGCAATTACCACAGTAGTCAAAACTTAAAAGGGACCTAGTGTTATAAAAAGGCACCAACACATGTATATCAATAGAACTCACTCTCTGCCACTTTCTTGTCCTTATAAATAACAATAGAACTATGTATTATCAGAGCGAATCAAATGTTTAGGTTTGAAGTAACTAAAAAGGCACCAACACATGTATATCAATAGAAACATGCCAGCTACTGCCAACAATTTCCCATGTGAATAACAAGGAGGTTTCAATTATCAAGATGATATCATACCCTCAATTTTTCCTTCTGCTCTTTTCTTTTTCTCTCTAATAGGTGTCACAATCTAATTTATAGCAATGATTCCATCTTTCAGGAATTGCAGAACACATGAATATAACTATGTCCTCCACATCTTTGTCTTCAGGTTAGTTGCAGCATATTTCTTTCATAATGCATTCCATCAAGAACGGTACTTTATTACCAAAGTTCACTTGTGCATAAATTGCTGCCTATCATCTTTATGCTTTTAGGACCTTCCACTCACACGAAAGTTCACTCTCATTGGCACCTCATTCATTTACCCATCCACATACTCTAACCAAAATTTCTGGCCTCAAATGACAAAATCTATTAATTTTCTCCTCTCCTTCATTTCCTCTTCCTATACAAATTTTAAATATAACAACTCCACAGCTGAAAACCTAAAGCAGAATTTCAACTTTCAGAAAATCATCTTTGAGAGGACCTGACAATAGAGGTTTCAAGCAAATTTTTTATTTAATAAATATAAATAAATAAATAAGTAACAGGTTTTGAACCTCTTTAGCCAAACCCTATGAAAGAACAAATACTGAAATTATTCATAAAAGAGAGAACATTTCTCACTAGCAAATTTTTAGCCTAATTCAATAACTTCCGCAATTAAAGATAATGACACTTTCTGCAGTAAATTCCTTTATGGAAAATCAATAATATAACCCATGCCTATAAAAACAAAACTATAACAACCAAAACACAAAACAAGTAATAGTGTTATTTCAACTATTGCAACAATTTTTTTCGCAATGCAATAATTTTGGCAACTCGCACAACAAAATGAGATCACTTTCATAATAAATAACCACAATAGTTTAGCGGAGTGCGAAAGACAAAAAGGTATGTACAATGACAGACAAAACCACCAAAAGAGAACTATCAGAAAATATTAAAGAACTTGGGTTAACTACATATTTGTTTAGTTTCGAATAAAGGGTTGTGCTTCACACCCCACTACCACCACCAAACATACTCTCTCTCTATAATCTAAGCTTGACAAAGGTCTATACTATCGAATGCTCTACCTCCAAGAGAAAAGGAAAATATTCTTCAAGAGGCTTCAAAGGGCCTACCATACGGACCCACCTCTACATGGACTTCAACTCTATTTTTGGAATTATCATTATTGACTGTTAAAGTCGTCTTGGTGCTCTATTTCATAAAACTTGGCGTTCTTGATGAGATAGTGTAGTGTTGTATCATGCAGTTCAAGTACATGGTTGGATTAACATTTAGGTTGACACCAGTATTTGAACTAACAGATACTATATAATGGGATGGCCATTATGCTATCAAGCGTTAAAACATCATTGTTTGAATAACAATTTTAGCTGAAACTACAATTTTCAGTACCTAGATTTAGGTTCAGATCCAGATATAACTATGGCTAGACAATAAAATACAAAAGCACAAGCCTTGGAGGAGAAAAGTTCAAATGATGTATTAGGGGCCCTAGATCAAAATATGACAGGCCATAATTTTGCTCAAAAAGGTAGGGAAGTAGTACTCACAGTTGCAGTAAGGCTACTAAAGTATCATGCAAATGCACAAGCAACCTTAGATGCTGAGTGTAGTTCTTAACAAAATAGAGATAGGTTGATGAGTATTGGTTAACCAAACATAAAGACAAGATTTCACAATTTTATTCCTGTTGGAGAAAAAGGAAAGAAATGAAGGAAGAGGCACAGAGTAAAAACTGAGAAATATCACCTAGTAATTTGAAAGATGGAAATAATAAAACCAATACACTAGGTGCTCATGAAAGACCACTCACATTTCTCATATTTTTAACCCAGCATCAACATATATATATACATATAATAAAAATATATAAACTATAAAATAAAAAAAGAAGAAGAAGAAGAAGCATATTCAACTGTTGAGTTAAAATAGATATGATGTCTTTAGGTGTCACCATTACTGAATTTAAAAGTAGAAGTAGAATAAAATCTTGAAATGAAAAGGAACATATAGATGACAAATAAAAATTCGAGAAAAGTAGAGAAAAGAGAGGGGGAGGCACATAAAGTAAGTTTCACAAATTAACCCTTAAAATGCAATGCAGAATTACACTGCAAACCATTCAATTGAAATCCTGTAAAATAGGCACTCTATGAAACAGGAGCTACTGATAAGGAGCAGGTCCAACAGGTCAACTAGAAACTAAAAGTTATTACAAGACCTCCAAACAAAACACACTGAAACTGAATCCATAGTTTTACACGACAATTCTATGGCAGAAAAAAAAAATTGCTTCTCTGGTTCACATAAATGCTAAAGGCTCCATCCTCCTGTATAAGCTTCACTGAAAAGATGACTGCAGTATGAAATAACACATTGAATATCACAACTAGGTTAATAATTAGGTTACACAGTTGACATTGAACTGAAGCCACAACAAAGCAAAGGATGTATATGAATCACCATAATTTAGCAGACAAAAAAAGAAATAAATAAATAATTTGCAGAAGCTAATGTAAATCAAAAGAAGATATCATGTTGTGCATGAAGGAAGTTGGGCTTACCTCAATGTATCACATCCCAAAGCACTGAATTGCATCACAATCAGAAAAGCACCAACTCTTCAAAGCCTTAGCTAATTACAAATACGAAGCTTCCCCGTCCATTCATCAGCCACCCCATAATCAAGACTGAGCTCTCTCAAAGGAGGGATGGTCTCCATCGCAAATAGCATAAGGTGTGGGAACAGTATATTATTGTGATCATATAGCACAAACTGCACCAGAACATTAGGACTCGAACTGTGGCTAATGTAACAAGAAACATTCCTCATTCTCGATACATCCATCGCAAAATCTAATGGAGGAATTGATGGATACGTTGGACGCACATAATCAGTAAATATCTGTGATAAATCCCCCCATTCTTTCCATCGCTCAGCAAACCGATTCGGATACACCAAACTATCTCCATTCATTGTAAAAATTTGAGCCTGCTCCCTAGTCAGAACAAGTCCAGCAAACTCGCAAATAAAAGCACCAGCTTGAATCAAGTCTAGAGACCTAACTCCCCAACCAGTTTCTCTTGACCTAAACACTTCAAATCTATTCCTCACTCCCTTTTGGCTCACACGATTTCTGCAACTCGGTGGGCAACGACAATTTGGTCCACATTCAAATATCACTGGTTTGCCTCTCACAAGAAGTCCATTTTGATCATAAGCAAACTCACCGCCATTTTTCATAGCACATTGACAATCATCCATACAACCCGAAATACAGTCACAGCCATTACCATTTCCCCCATGATATGCATAAGGAGGGAATATACTCGTCACGATATACTCATAATACAATGGTACATGATCATTATCTATATCATTGTATAAAAAAACCGGGACATTTTCCTTGTTCATGGAGATATCAAAACTAATATTACCCATTGGTCTGACCGATAAAGGTCTAGTCCTAAGATTCTCAGCGAACCTCAAAACAGTACTACCCATCTCGGGTTGATTTTCAATTCTAGTGAGTCTGTATTTATAAACTCCAAAACCAGACCTACCCACATCAAACCATGTTTCACGAATTGTATATAACCCATCATAAACATAAACCTTACCACTGGCGCTACCTTCATATTTCCGGCCTCGAATCACTCTGACTTCAATCCCGTAATGCATACTCCGCTCCAAAGCAAGATTTCCGCCTTCCAACTTCTGATGAACACATTGCTTCGAATTCTTGTCTTGCCCACCTTGACCAGTGTAAATTATCTCTTCACCCCCATCTTCATCGTCTTCATACCCACCGGAGACAATTATACTCGTCGCAATTGGCTCGTGATTCGAGCTCTGACTCGCCGGAAGGTAATCAATCCCGGCTTGAGCTTGGCCATGGAGTCCAATTACACACAATTCCATTCTAAAAAAGAACAAATCACCAATGTAAACACCAGGGATCGGACCCACAATTCTCTTGTCACGATTCATCCACAATCCCCGATCCCTCATCACCGACGCAGACTTCAAATCGCCCCGATTCGACCGCCTCCCAAGCCCTAAAGCCCGCCTCTTCTCCTCCTCCGCCATGGCAAAAACCCTAAGCGAATCATACAGCATTCTCGTCTTCCTCACAAGGTCCCGAAAGTACCTCTGGTCCTCAATTCTCAAATCCGTAACCCTAACCAGTTCCGACGACCGCTGAAAATAGCGCCGCCGCGGCGGAACAACCACGGCGGAGACCTGGTTTTCCTCCGGTACAAGAACAATCGCGCGCGAATCGGGATCCGACACGTCAGCGTCGTCGAAACTCTGCATTCGCTTCTTACCGAAAGCAGTACGGAAAAGCTCCGAAATGCGATTGTACTCCGAGTACACGTAGTTCTCTTCGGACGATTCGGTAGGGTCATGAATCGAGCCATCGGAGTTTGTGTTCAGTTCAGGAAATGCCGTATCGGGATGAGAATTGAAAGGAAAACTAGGGTTTGGGGTTGAAAAGTAGGGTTGTTGGAAATGGTTTTGAAGAGGTTCGTCCAAGGGTTCGAGTTTGGGCTCCAATTTTGGGATGATGGTTGCGGTGGTGATGGTGGTGGTGGGGGGGTCAGGGATGAGGTTGAGGTCAAGACATGGGATGAGAGAACCCATTTCTTGTTCCTTTTTTTTTCTAGAGAGAGAAAATTATAGTTCTGGAGAGATAAAGAGAGGAGAGATATGGGGTGGTGTTTGTTGAAGAGTGAGAGAAGGGTTTTTAGGTGCTTGCAGAGAGAGAGTTGAAAGTGTGTTCATGGAGATTTTGGTGATCTCAGAGAGAGGGAGAGGGAGAGGGAGAGGGAGAGGGAGAGAGAAGACAGGTGAGGAATGTGTTGTTAGAATGAAGTAATGTAATAAGGGTGAATGTCAATTTGAAGACATTTTGAATTGACGATTTTACCACTGACTTTGCTTTACGGTTTAAAATTTAAAACAAAAAAGAAGTGTTCAAACTCTCTCGGTTTACGAACTCGAATTTTGTTGGTGTTGTTTGGCAACTTTTTCTCCTAGGTTTTTTTTTTTATTAAAAGATAAAATTTTTACAAAATTAAAAAAAAAGGTAAATCTAAATAAAATATCATATCCAATTTTATAATCATTTTACTTTTTTTTCTCATAAACATTACATCCATTCACAAAAAAATTCAACTATCTTTCTAAATATTAAAAAAAAAATTCTCCATTAATATTCTACAACTAAAAAAGCCTACATAAAAATTCACTTTCCAAACACGCACATTGTGTTAAAAAAAAAAAACTCAAATTTTGTTTAATTCTGAATTTTTTAAATATTTTTTTTATTTGTTATTTTTGCATATGAATAAGTTTTATGAGTTGTTTTAAAAAATGTCAAATAAGCTTTTTTTTATTATTTATTTATTATGAAAAGATATGTAAAATATAAAAATATTATATGACTTAAATAAGTCAAAAAATAATAAGTTGACTCATAAGGGTATTTTGAAAAGATAGTTAAAAGTTATTTTTTTAATTTTTTTGTAAGAAAAATAAATAAATTAAAAATTAAGAAGTGACTTTTAATTGATTTTTTAAAATAAGCGTAAGTTACTTCTCAAAAAAATATTCGTTTGGGAAGTGGCTTGGCTTTTTAACTTTTTGGTTTTTTTAACTATTTTAGCCTGGGTTAAAAAGTTTAGTTTAGGATATGATTTTTTGACTTTTTGACTTTTTTTATGAGAGAAGAGTGTAATGATTATGAATTAAATGTAATATTTTATTTTTTATGACTAAAATAACTTATTTTATTTTTTGTAATTAAAATAATCAAAAAAAACTTAAAAACCAACTTGTCAAACGGAGGGCTACCTTCATATTTCCGGCCTCGAATCACTCTGACTTCAATCCCGTAATGCATACTCCGCTCCAAAGCAAGATTTCCGCCTTCCAACTTCTGATGAACACATTGCTTCGAATTCTTGTCTTGCCCACCTTGACCAGTGTAAATTATCTCTTCACCCCCATCTTCATCGTCTTCATACCCACCGGAGACAATTATACTCGTCGCAATTGGCTCGTGATTCGAGCTCTGACTCGCCGGAAGGTAATCAATCCCGGCTTGAGCTTGGCCATGGAGTCCAATTACACACAATTCCATTCTAAAAAAGAACAAATCACCAATGTAAACACCAGGGATCGGACCCACAATTCTCTTGTCACGATTCATCCACAATCCCCGATCCCTCATCACCGACGCAGACTTCAAATCGCCCCGATTCGACCGCCTCCCAAGCCCTAAAGCCCGCCTCTTCTCCTCCTCCGCCATGGCAAAAACCCTAAGCGAATCATACAGAAGATCTGTTATGTTCACAAAACATTCAATTCAAAAAATTAAAAAAAACAAAACAAAACACTTACTACTCTATTGCTACATCTGTAAATTTCTCTGCCTACTTACAATTTTCTCTGTGATTTTCACTGCACTACAAGTTTACAATTTTCTCTGTGATTTGAGTTCAATTATAGTAACAAACCTGCAATTTTCTCTGCACTACACAAAAAATGCAAAGTGAACAAAAAACAGAGCACAAAACGCAGAAAAACAGAGCACCAAAAAGGAACTCATAACCATGTTGACAGAGAATGAAAAAGCAACTCCAAAAATCAAAATCAACTCCATCGAAAATTCATCAATAATAGATAATGAAAAATTAACTTCAAAAATCAAAAAGAACAACACTGAGTTCGTCTCTCTCACATTGATCAAAACTAAAAACAAAAACCTAATTCAACACCTACACGATCAAATCAAATCAAAAATTGAAAACTTATCTATTTCAACTCCACATGAAATCAAATCAAACACAATGAACCAGATTTCAACTCCTACACGATCGATCAACACCTACAAACAACGAACATGATTTCAACTCGTACAGGATTTCAACACCTACAAACAACGAACAGGATTTCAACACCTACAAAACCCTAGAAAATCTCCACAAAAATTTGAATCATCAAGTTCATTCTCACGTAATCTCCCACAAAATATCAATATGATCTTTAGCTGCCAAATTGAAAACAACGTATATTATAAACAAGGGTAAGACAGGTATTTTACACTCTAAAATAACATTGAGGGACCTTAGGCTACAAAAGAACACATTGTGGACCTAATCCATTACTAAAAGTTGGATAGGGACCTTAAACCGATTTTTCCAAAAGAAATTAAAATATTCACTAAATACCAAACATGCAGATTAAAAATTCAAAAATTAAATTTGAAAACTTCAAAATCAAACAGAGTATTGAGACAATCTCATTCATATAAGAAACAATATTACAAAAAAGGGTTTGGTTATGGTGTGCAACTTACACCTTACCCCTTATACCTTACACTTACACCTTACACTTACACCTTTTGTAAAAAATTAAACCTTACACTTACACCTTTTTTGAGGTTGCACACCATGTGCAACCTACTTACACCTTACACCTTACACTTACACCTTATACTTATACTTATACCTTACACTTACACTTTTTATATAAGTGGCACATGGTGTGCACTTGCACACTTAAAAAAACTCCTACAAAAAAATGAAAAAGTAATAAATGAAATTTGACCTGGCACGAATCTAAAACAAACTCTATCCCAAGTTATTTGTTTTGCACGGAAAATAATAATATATTTTTGAGTTAAAATTTTTAATTTTTCTGAATTAAAAGTATTTAATAAGATATATTTTAATTAGTAAAGAAAATTATAAATGTTGATAGGAGAATATATTATTTTCAAGTTTCCCAAAAATTTTTAAAAAAATAATTAAAATATTTTAAAAAATTCACTAAAAAGCAAAATTACGGGTTAAAAACTCAAAAATTAATTTTGAAAATTCGGAAACCAAACAGAGTATCAAGACAATCTCTTCAATTAATGTGAGAAAATATATTACAAAAAAAGTAAAAAAGTAATGACTGAAATCTGGCACGAAGCTAAAACAAACGCCATCCCAAGTTAATTTTTTTTTTGGCACAAAAAACAATAATATATATTTTGTGTTAAAATTTTTATCTTTCGTATGAATTAAAAGTATTTAATAAGATATTGTAATTAGTAAATTAGATTAAAATTTTATGATATGAGAATATATATTTTTTAAATTTCTACAAAAAATTTAAAAAATGATTAAAATATTAAAAAAATTCAAATTAAAAACTCACAAATCAAATAGAGTATTGAGACAATCTCATTCAATTAATGTAAGAAAATATATTACAAAAAAAAATAGAAAAGTAATAAAAGAAATTTGACTTGGCACGAATCTAAAACAAACTCTATCCTAAGTTATTTGTTTTGCACAAAAAACAATAATATATTTTTGAGTTAAATATTTATTTATGAATTAAAAGTATTCAATAAGATATTTTAATTAGTAAAGAAAATTAAAAAAATTGATATTTTAAGTTTCTTATTTTTTGTGCCAAACAAACATTTGAAATGAAAAAACTGTTTATATTTGATAATATTTGAATTGACAAAACAATGTTTGAAATTTTAAAATAATAATCTCATTCAATTAATACAAGAAAATATATTATAAAAAATTAATAAATGAAATTTGGCTGGGCACTAAATTTTTTTAAAAAAATACAAAATATTTATGTTTGCTAATTTTTTAATTAGGAAAGTAGCGTTGGAAGTTATAGAAGAGGTGTTATTTCCAAAATCAAAGATTCGAAATAAAATTTTCAAATAAATTTTAGAATTTAAAATTATGCATTTTCATATTTGTCATTCAATGGAGATGTCAATCTTTAAAATCTAAAATTTTATTAAGTATATTTTGAAAAAAATTGATTATAATTTATAAAAAAAAATTTCAAATTTTATTGTTTTCAATGATTCATGATACTATTGCAGAGCTAAAATCTTAAAATTGATATTTTAGTGCAAAATTAGTAATTCTTACAATTTTCAATTTTTTATGATTTAAATTTTAAAAAAATAATAATTTTCAATATAATTTTTTTTTCCCTAAAAATATAAATACTTACGTTGTGTTTTGGATCCATAATTTGAGCAGGCCTTGTGAAAGAAGATGAAATAGGGAAGAAAAAAGTGAATGAAATAGAAGTTAAAATTTTGTTGGTTTGGTTTGGGAAGTGGGTTGGCTTTTTGGCTTTTTGACTATTTTAGCCTGGGTTAAAAAGCTTGGTTTGGGAAGAGCTTTTTGGCCTTTTGGCTTTTTTGACTTTTTTTGTGAGAGAAGAGTGTAATGATTATGAGTTGGATGTGATGTTTTGTTTTTTGTGGCTAAAATAGCCTATTTTGTCTTTCATGGCTGAAATAGCCAAAAAAATCCCCAACCCAACTTGCCAAACGGAGCTGTTATATTCTATTTTTCTTTTGGAAAAAGGGGCAGACCCCCACTGGGGTGACCCAGGGCCCCCAGTGGGGTGTGATTGGTGGATAATATATATATATATACTTAGTCCACAGCCTCCCACATGGAGGTGAGGGTGCTGGAGGTCACCCCCCACGGCTGTTTTCTTTTCATTTTCCTATACAAAATGCTGGAGACCACACCGTGTAGAATATTTGGTAATTTTTTTTGAAATCTCTATCATTGTTCTTTTATTTATAGAGATTAAAAAATTTGCCTTTGATTATCTTTTTTTAATGAGAAATATTATTAATCACTGCATTTACTTTACTAATTTTTGTTAATTAGAGGTTTGTAATTGATTATATTTTTAGAAGAAATTTTAGAAGGAGAAAATGAAGTTGAGTCCTATCTTGCCGTGTATGTGGGAAACAAAGAAAAATGCTTGAGAGCTCTAGGAAATGAGCTCTAAACCATGCACTAATGACATGGAGTTGTGTGGGGTCCAACTTGATGTGATGTTCTACTTTTAGAGCTCTATAGCATTGTTGGGGAAACAAAACGGTTATAAAATTCAGTGATATATGACAATTTTGTAAAAAAATTAAATTTTAAATTGCAATTGATTGAGCGTTATCAAATGCCCTTAATGATAAATTCTTTACAATTCATATTTTTATGAGAAATGTTATACTTATGTGACTTGATTTTTTATCACCATTTTGAATCACTTGCCTATATTGATATTTATGATTAGTTTTCTTATTTTGGGATAATTATTTAAAAAATTTAAGGATAGTAAGTAATATCTTGTCATGTATTCTGTAATGCAAAATTGAGGAGAGAGGGAAAAAAAAAAAAAAAAACAATGGTATATATAAAATCCTATACTTGAATTTGATTTTTTACGAAAAGAATGTGTAAAATAATAAAAAGAATAGAAATGAATCTTTGACAAAATAATTTTTTGACTTTTTACTATATTAGCCTGTTGCTAAATGAAGCCTAAATGCTTCAAAAAAATTATTGTAAGAGTGTTATACATAAATGTATTTCTTAAAAGGTATTTCTTACTCCAAGACATAAATGTAGTGGATCATATTAATAAATGAAAAATGTCATAAACATGTTTTTACTATAATTTCCAACCATGATTTTGTATGTATTTATTAACTAGCATTTGAAAAAAATTATTGTAATAGTGTTATACATAAATGTATTTCTTACTCCAAGACATAAATGTAGTGGATCATATTAATAAATGAAAAATGTCATAAACATATTTTTACTATAATTTCTAACCATGATTTTGTATGTATTTCTTAAATAGCATTTGACCCGTGCTATGTCTACATGTATATGATAATGATATATATTAATATTTTATGAATTTTTAGATTATAAATTTATTTTTATTTTCAAATTTTGAGATATATTATAAAGATATTTATTAACAATGTATGAATTGTTAGATCATAAAATTTAGAACCCCGTTTACTTTACCCTATGACCTAGTCGAGGTGCAACTTGGGTTGGCCGTAATTTAATTTCGTAAAATTTTAGAGCCTTAAGTAATTTAAGTTCGTAAAATTTTATGGCCTTAAGACTATTTTAAATTTGGTCAGGACCAAGGAAAAATTTACTAAATTAAATTAAATTCATGTCAAAACTTGAGTAAGTATTGTCACAATCCATGCATTCTGATTTTTATTGTTAATAATATATAACCCTCGCATTGAAGGCATAAAACGAAACTTTAAAATATATATATATATATATATATAGAAAAATTGATATATGTTCATTTTAGGATTTGTTTTTTTAATTGTAATATAATAGAAAATTATACTAAAGTATTTTTGTATATTTACCCACTTAAATAAAAAAAAAATTATATGATTAAAAATTTTGTGATTAGGTAGAATAGCAGGGTAGGTATGAAAATATAAAACTCATTCAAATCTAATCTAAATAAAGTTGGTGATCAATTAAGTTGATTTTTTTGTTTTTTTGTTTTTTGTCGTATCTATTGATGGCCATGTTGGTGGAATTTATTTAAAACTAAAATCTGGTAACCAAAAAGTAGAAGTTAAAAGTATTCATTTCCTAACTTTTAAATGATCATCTTCTTTCAGTTTATTTAAGTTATTTCTACCTAATAAGCTGTAAGCATAAATTACACCAAATAATCTGACACATACTTCTAAATTAAAATAAACTATAATCACCTCTTAAAACCAAATAAGAGTGCAATTTTGGCCTAGCTCAACCCACCCTTAAACCTCGCGAACTCCAATAAAAAATCAGGCCTACGTACTCTCGTAAAAACTCAGCCTAGGCCCTAGGAAAATTCAGGCCTCAGGTCGGGTTTGGGTTAGGCCTTGAGCCTAGTTGTGAAGCGTCCCGAAAATAATAGCCATAATTATCAAATAACAATAATACCATCTCACGATAATTATCCATTAACAATACATATTTGAATATGACAACTTTACATTCATATGATCCAATTTTACAAAAGATTGCACTTGTAACTATATATTCATAAGCCCTAACCTTAAATTTACAGCATGTGCCACGAGTTAATGGTATGAAATAAAAGTTAGACAGATATACAAATGCCCTAATGGCTAAAATTTTTCAAGACAATGCTTGATTACAACAAATGTGAGTTTTAACTCAATACAGCTTAAACCCCAGGCTTGTACAAAATAATTACATAATAGTAGAAAGAAGCCCTTGGCTCCAGGTCCTCCCAAGCTATGGCCTTTGCGGAAGCATATCATCAGTATCTAAAAATGGTTTTTCACATAGGGTGAGTCAAAACCCAGTAGAGATACTCTAACACAGTATAAATTTTAACAAAGTTATAAGGCAAATGCACATGCAATGCTCGTATCAAAACATTTTATATCTCTTTCCAAAACCATGCAATGATAAGTTTATATCACAATTTATGAAAACATTTCATTTCCAATAGAAAACAGGGCAGTGGATACAACACTGGGAATCTCTAGGTATGTGTTTGTAAGTAAGTTATATAAACACTACCAATTGCCATTTTTACCGGTACTAACCGGAAAGCTCGACATCTAACTGTACAGGGTTTCTGGCCTTTCACCAAGGACACACAAGCCAACAATAATACCATAACCACACCTCTTACCTAGATTCACCAAGGTATTCACCTTTTTTATTCTCAAAACAATATACATTTTAAATATGTCGAGTATGCAACAATGCTCAATGCAAGTGGATGAGAAATCAGTTTCAATTCTATTAATTCTCATGTAATTTCTACAACAATCATAGCTATTATCTACCAATAGCCCAAAACGGATATCTCTAAATAGATATATAATTTCCAAAAAGATAAACTTTTTAAAATTTCAAGATGGGAGTGATAATGCATATCCAACTCCACCATCATCATTATCATCATTCCAATTCCATAAAACTCAACATCATTTCCATTTTCTCTTTACAAAATCAAACGTTTAGATTTTAGGGCAAAATTCTTTTTTTTCATAAATCAATTCCAAGGATAAAATATACCATTTTATCACAACCCAACCACATTTTAAATTCCACAACCATTTTCAAGAATCTATTTGAAAACCCCTCTTTTGATTTCAAAACCAAAATCCTACATTTTTATCTAAAGATCCTCATATTACAATTTTGTTTAGAAAAACAAATAACTAAGTTAAAAATTATACTAAAATGTGGAGAAATCTCTACCTCAAGTTAGAAGACAAACCAAGAGCAAGGTTGAAATTTCAATGGAGTCGAAAATGGACTTTGCTCCGATCAAATGAAAGCTGTAGGTGAGCTCTACCTTTTTATCAAATGGACTAGGGTGTAGAGATCAATGAATGATAGTGTATTTGAAGGTTGAAGATGAGTTTTAAAGAGAGTGTGTCTAGATTTAGGGTTTTGAAATGTTTAGAGAGAGAGAGAGAGAGATGAAAAAGTGATCCAAAAAGTGACTTTCTCGAACTGATATACGCACAAATTGTTCCAGCGCATGAATGGTCGCTCGAGCGACCAGACACAAACGAAGACACAACTCGAGCGCAAAAATAGTCGCTCGAGCGCACAATGCACCCCTCCCAATAGTTTAGGCCTGTAAAAGTGTGCTCAAGTGCAGCTATCAAACTCCCAATAGTTTTACAGACTATAAAAGACCGCTCAAGCGCAAGAAACTTCGCTCGAGCGAAAAACAATATTTTAGGCAAAGACTCCTTTAAAAAATGAACTCCCAACCTATTTCAAATGCAACCACAATACTCACACAACCCGATTCAACAAGAAATAAGATGAATAAGGACATGAACAATCAAACAAGACAAGCAATCCTAAGTCCAAAACAATAAATGGGTCGGGTCTAAACAGAATCGTTATAACCTCCCCTCCTTGAGAAATTTTATCCTCGAAATTTTAAAATCAACACAATAACCACTGTAATTAAATCAACATAAAATTGATCCATCCATCCTCATAACCATGACCCACCCACCGGTCATTCATTCTCATAACAACAATAAACAAAGTTTTCAATATTGAATATACAATTCACTTCTTCCAAAACATATGCAATGTTTTATATTCAATCAATATAACAAGATTTTCATTACAAGTTTCAAACATTAACAAAAAGGTCCGGATACTTCTCGCAGACTTCCGCCTCACGTTCCCAAGTCGCCTCCCCAATTCCGTGGTGCCACCCCAACACTTTTACCAAATGGATTGTCTTGTCTCGCAAGACTTGGTCCTGTGTATCTAAGACTCTAACTAACATCTCCTCATACGAGGCATCTTCATCTACCTCTAACTCGGTCCAATCCAACACATGTGACGGATCCGACTCATACTTCTGGAGCATACCGATATGAAACACGTCATGAATCCTAGAAAGTTATTGTGGCAAGGCCAAACGATAAACTACCTCTCCAATGCGCTCAAGGATCTCAAAAGGTCCAATAAATCTAGGAGACAACTTCCTACTCATCCCAAACCTCATCAATCCCCATCTAGGAGATATTTTCAAGAAGACTTGATCTCCTACTTCAAATGATAATGGTCTCCTTTTACGGTCAACATAACTCTTCTGACAACTATAAGTTGAAACCAGCCTCTTACCAATAAGTGTAATATTCTCCATCGTTTTCCAGACTAACTCAGGACCTAACATAGGTATGTCACCTACCTCGGCTTAACACATTGGAGATGTACACGGTCGGCCATACAAGGTCTCAAAAAGTGTCATGCCAATACTCGCCTGAAAACTATTGTCATAGGCAAACTCCACTAAAGGCAAATGCCTCTCCCACGAACCCTTAAAGTCAAGAACACAACTGAATGGTACGCTCTAACTGCTCGTCAGTCTAAGGATGATAGGCGGTGCTAAATTTGAACCTAATGCCTAAGGAATTCTGTAGGCCCTGCCCCAACCGAGCTGTGAAATGCAGATCTCTATCCAAAACAATAATCATAGGGACCTCGTGAAGTCGAATTATGTCTCTAACATAAAGGTCGGCAAGATAATCTACCTAGTTACTCATGAGCATAGGTACAAAATGTGCTGACTTAGTTAACTGGTCGACTATCACCTACGTGACATTATTACCTTGTTGGGTCTTTGGAAGATCCACAACAAAATCTATCGTGACATGCTCTTACTTCCACTTGGCTATAGGCAAGGGTTACAACAAACCCGCTGGTCTCTGATGCTTAGCCTTTACCTGTTGATAAGTAAGGCACCTCAAAACAAACAAGCTTATGTCTCTTTTCATTTCCCTATACCAAAACTGGCGACTAAAGTCGTAATACATTTTTGTGCCTCTCGGATGTACCACAAGGCGTGAATGGTAGAACTCTCGGAGTACCTCTTGTCTACAAGACTCCAGCACAAAAAGACAGTCAAGATATCTAATACTCGAGTCAGAATACACGTTCATGCCCTTCTCTACCTTCTCACTAGATATCTTTCCCCGGATAGACTCTACCTTATAATCACCCTATTATGCCTCTATAACTCGGCTCACAACTATAGGTTATGCAACTATAGTCAACAAAGCTGCAAACTCAACGGACCCGCCAAGATGCAAGTCAAACTCACCGATAGCGCCCAACATCTCTCATTCCCAGATGGCAATACTAGCTATACTGCTAATGGATTTCCTACTCAAGGCATCAGCTACTACATTGGTCTTTCCCGGATGATAATGCAACTTAAAGTCATAATCTTCCATGAACTCCATCTACTTCTGCCTCAGATTCAAATCTTTTTGTGAGTACAGATATTTCAAACTCTTGTAATTGGAGAATACCTCAAACCTCTCACCATATAGATAATGTCTCAAAATCTTCAAAGCAAAGATCACTGCTGCTAACTCTAGGCCATGAGTAGGATAGTTTCTCTCGTGTGTTTTCAACTGACGTGAACCATTAGCTACTACATTCCCCTCTTGCATCAAGATACGACCCAAACCTTTCCAAAATGTATCACAATACACTAAATAGCCAAAACCTCTCTCCGGAATGATCAACACTGGAGCAATGATAAGTCTAATCCTAAGATCTTAAAATGACTTCTCACAAGTCTCACTCTACATAAATTTGATTCCCTTCCTTGTCAGTCTAGTCAAAGGTGAGGCTAATCTAGACAAATCCTTCACAAAACGTCGGTAATACCCGATTAATCCCAAGAAACTCCAGATCTCAAAGGCATTCTTAGGTTATTTCCAATCTTGCACATCCTCTATATTAAAAGAGTTTATAGTCACACATTTCCCGGATACCACATAGCCTAAGAATTTCACCTCCTTCAACCAGAGCTCACATTTTCCGAACTTAGCATATAATTTGTAGGCTCTAAGTAACTTAAGTACAATCCAACAATAATATACATTTTCAAGGACGCACAAGCCAACAATAGTACCATAACCACATCCCCTACCCAGATTTATTAAGGTGTTCACCCCTTTTTCTCAAAACAATATATATTTTTAATGTGTCGACTATGCAACAATGCTCAATACAAGTGGATGAGAAATTAGTTTCAATTCTTCTAATTCTCATGTAATTTCTACAACAATCATAACTATCTTCTACCGATGGCCCAAAACAGATATCTATAAACAGATAGATAATTTTCAATAAAGATAAACTTTTCAAAATTTCAAGATGAGAGCGATAATACATATCCAACTCCACCACCACCACCACCATCATCATCATTCCAATTCCATAAAACTCAACATCATTTCCATTTCTTCTTTACAAAATCAAACATTTACATTTTAGGGCAAAATCTCATTTTTTTTATAAATCAATTCCAAGGATAAAATATACCATTTTATCACAACCTAATCACATTTTTAATTTCACAACCATTTTTAAGAATCCATTTGAAAACCCCTATTTTGATTTCAAAATCAAAACCCTAGATTTTTATCCAAAAATTCCCAAATCATAATCTTATTTAGAAAAGCAAATAAATAAGTTAAAAATCATACTAAATTGTGGAGAAATCCCTATCTCAAGTTAGAAGACAAAGAGCAAGGTTGAAACTTCAATGGAGTCGAAAATGGACTTTGCTTCGATCAAATGGAAGCTCTAAGTGAGCTCTATCTTTTTATCAAAGGAACTAGGGTGTAAAGGTCAATGGTGATAGTGTATTTAAAGGTTGAAGATGAGTTAGAGAGATAGTGTCTAGATTTAGGGTTTTGAAATGTTTAGAGAGAGAGAGAGAGAGAGAGAGAGAGAGATGAAAAAGTGATCCAAAAAGTGATTTTCTCTAACTGATATATGCGTAGACCGCTCGAGCGCGGGAATGGTCGCTCAAGAAACCAGACACAAACGAAGACACAACTCGAGGGTCTTGGGCTAGGCTTTGGGTTGGCGGACCATTTTTACACCCTTAAAATCAAACATCCCTATTGAGTGATCAATATTCTTAATTATTATTTTTTATTCTAAAATTAAAAAATGTAAGATTTCATAAAATTTATTTTACCATTGAAGATATGATTGTCTCATTGACATAAGTTTATTTTTTAAAATAATATTTTAAGATACAAATTTTAATAAAAACTTAAAATAAACTTTTGAGAATGATCTTTTTAGTAATTTTTTGAACTTTTTATGAAAAAAAAAAAACATGTAAAAGAGTAGAGAGAAAATCACTTTTTTTGTAGTGATTTTTTTAACATTTTTTCCTCTAAAATATCAACTTTTCAAATACGTCTTAGTTTTTCTTTGATATCCAATTAAAAAAGTCACATTCTTTTTAATTTTTTTGTCTTTAGTAATTTTTTTAATAATGTTTTATCTTCTGATTCATGTAGAAGAATTTAAAAGTAAAAAAAAAAAAATCACTCAAAAAAAAAAGTTAAAAAAGCCAACTGTTTTTGACCACTTTTTTTTTTTGGTCTGCAACATATATATTTTTATTTTTTTGTTTGTTCAGTCAAGTATAACCTAAACATTTAAAATATTTTTAAAAAAAATCATAAAAGTGAAAAAAACCAAAAAAAAAGCTAATCTCAAACACATTAGTTTTTTTGAATTTAACCCAAGCACCTGGCTAGGAGATAAAAATATGGGCCACAACTAATAAGAATTTCAACATCAAAATTATGAGAAAAAAATAAGGGCAAAACACCAATAAATTCTAAATTTTAATATGTTAAATCATTTGATCTTGCTTTTTATTTTGTAGACTAATAAGTCATATTTGAATGTTAAAAGCTCACTATAAGACTTTTTTAGATTTCCCTCCTTTCTGAACATCAGCAACATTAACTACACCAACAACATCATCAAACATCAACTATATCATCAAACATCATCAACATCATAAAACGTCATCAACATTGATCAAATATCATCAAACATCAACTACATCATTAAACATCACCAACATCATAAAACATCATCAACATCATCAAACATCAACTACATCATCAAACATCATCAACATCACAATATCATCAAACATCAACCACATCATCAAACATCATCAACAACACCAACATCATAAAACATCAACTACAACATTACCAACATTGTGAACATTATCAGATATCAACTACATCTTCAACCTCGTCAAACATCATCAACATCACCAACATCATAAAACATCATCAACATCATCAAACATCAACTGCATCATCATACATCATCAACATCACCAACATTGTGAACATCATCAAATATCAACTACATTTTCAACCTCATCAAACATCATCATACACCACTCAAGACTAGATAGAGCAACATTTCCCAATATGGAATTTATGAGTAATTTTTCCAAACAATTAAATGTTATAAACTATGTCAATATGAAAACAAAATGTCATGGACTATTTCAATATGGAAATAATTAAAGAGAAATTTATTTGGAAATCCCATCCTAGAAAGTCTCACAAACTTTCTTATAAATAATTAAATCTCATTGAATTTAAAAAGATACATCGTGAGATCCTTTCACTATATTTTCTAGAGATTCTTTGGTGGTATTACGTTTGCTTTTCAAATGTGGTGTACTTTGTGTAGGAAATTTTAATTTGAGATTGTCAATATCATTTTAATATGTACGCTATTATCTTATTAAATTTTTATCAAATGTATCATTATTAAAATATAACAATAGAACATTATTCTAATGTATATACTATTATCTTATTAAATTTTTAATATGAGATAAGACTTTTTGAAATATAAAAATATCTATGCGACTAGATGGGTCATAAATTAACACTAAGAATTTATTAGTCAATGGCCCATAATTAAATCATCATCAAACTAAAGAACATAGAGTAAACCCCCCCCCCCAAAAAAAAAGGAAAAAAAAAAGAAGAAAAAAACTGAATACAATATTATCAAAAAAATATTTGGAGATTGTTTGCTACATTCATAAACAAAATTTGCAAAAGAAGAAAATTTTAATATTAGTCAATGGCCCATAATTAAATACTATAAACCTTGTTTCAAATCATTCCAAAAAAAGAAAAAAGAAACAAGTACAATATTATCAAAAAAAATATTTGGAGATTGTTTGCTACATTCATAAAGAGAATTTGCAAAACAAGAAAAATTTAATTTTTTGTGACCTAATTTAATGTAAACATTCATATAAAAAATGTACCTATCTATACT